GGTCCCCAACGTTGTTGGTTTTGTCCTTTTAGATGCTGGCCAGTATTTCCTTGTGTTTTTGGAGGTCCTGACTGACTCTGACCAGATCTATGGGCCTGGTTCTGGCTTTGAGCAGGAGGTCCTTGTTGCTGATTTGCAATTTCTTCAGAATTTTGAGAGCTGCTGTTAGCATTTTTCTCTCCGTCCCAAGTGCCAATGTTCAAAGTTGTTTGTTTGAGTGTGGGCAACTGGGTTGGAACTGGAGCATGAGCAGAAGACTTCTTGCTAGACTTATTCTGAACAGGTTTAGCAGGCTTGCTTGCAATTGCTGCCCAAGATGTTGGTTTAGCAGTCACAGGAGCCGAAGCTGGAGCACTTGAGGGCGGTATTTGAGAGACGGGTGGAACAACCATAGGTCTGTCTCTTATACACATCTAGATGTGTATAAGAGACAGCGTATAGACAGCTACAATACGCCAACGATTATTCTAAGTCAAAAAGCAAGGCTATTTGTTTATCTACTGGTATACTGGTGCTTCAGCCTAAGCCTTGCTCAGAATTAGTTCCTCTGATTGGTGGATCTTCTAGACTGAAAGGAATAAACATCGACATTAAGAAAATCAATGAAACAATTGTTATTTTACACACAGAGTATAGTCTGTCTCTTATACACATCTAGATGTGTATAAGAGACAGACATATATGTGTGTGTGTGTGCGAGTGAAAATAAATACAAAAATACAGCCAATTTTAAACTACATCACCAGTCTGCTATTAAAGTAAATTTGAAAAGCCTTTTTTGTATTCATATCATAATGCAGTGATGATTGCATACACCCACCTATTGCCAGAGTGACGGTCACAATTCTGTAGCGAGTGGAACTAAATGTTCTTTTCCGTATATATTTTGGGTGAAATTTAATTTGATCTTTGGTTGATGCCCTTTGTCCTCCTTTGACATAATTAACTAGGGAATTACATCGTTCATTGTATACCAAATTACAGGAAATATATTATTCTACACTTTAGTAACAAAATATATTTAGTAGATAATAAGTTCTTGGTATAATGTTACCCCTAATACATAATGCTGTACGAAAACAATAGGCCCTAGTCATCTTTGATATTTCGGTTTACACGCACTGGATGGCAGACATCAATTACATGGCAGGAAGAGGATGCACTTTTTGGGTCACTGGACTATTGGAAAAGTGTAGCGGTTTTTCGTCACAAGAATAAAACCCTATACAGGGTACTGTAGTTACATTTTTTTTTAAATTCAGGACACTAGGTTTAGAAGGCAACCACCAAGCTACTTCTTTTTATATCATAGCTGTGAGGGGCCCTCATCTCCCTTAACTTCCCCCACTGCTGCCTGGTACACTTTACTCTATTGTTGTAAAGTATGATGTTTGCTGAGAAAACAATTTTAATTTGTCTGTAATGCATCAATCAAAAACAAACAAGACAAGAAAGCTTAGGTTTGAATGGTTTTTATTGGTCAGGTATGGTCTCTGCTTGAGCTCTCTGAAGATTATTTGTATTACAGTATAAGTATTAAGTATATCCAATGTTGACAAAAAATACACAAATAACCAAAAACAAAAAACATTTTTAGTGAAGACATTACAACAAAACAGTAACAAAATTAACAAGCAGGGTCATGTAAGCCACAACAAAAAACAGACATTTTGTCTCCTATTGTTTATTTGATAAAAATGAATCAAATTCTTTAAGAATTTGCCTTCTCATCCATACTGTATCATACAGACTTAAAAACGGCGAGAACATTTTTTTACGGATACGGCTTAAAGGGGCAAAAGAAATATTATATTTCTCTAGGAAAATAAATTTGTATAGAATAAGCCTAAAGATTACAAGCAAAAAATTATTTTTAATCCAAGATCAAAATGGATCCTAATTAGGTACATAAAATAAAGATTCGTGCAAAAATAAAATAGAATCACCTTGGAAAATACTACAAATGAAACTGCGAAAAGATTGTAAAATACAAAAGGCTTTAGTACAGTATATAGAATGAACAGGATGTATTTCCCTTTCAATTGCATTATGGAGAAACAATAATATACAACACTAAAGTACAAAGGATGAAAGTGTGTTAAGTAGATTAAAACTCATTTTTCTTTTTCAGTCAGCGGTTTTTGTGCCTACAACTCTTGCAATTAGACGTTACATGTACAATTCAAACATTGTGAAATGTACAAGAAATAGAAAAACGAAACTACTAAGAGCAGTGTGGATTCAGGAGTATTTCAAATAAATGGGGGAAGGGGAAGTTGCAATATTTTTATTTATTTTAGTTAGAAGAAAAATTGTGAAAAAAAGGGGGGTTACCTATAGTCTCAATCCACTACTTGGACCTTGAATTTAAAATAAGTTTCTTAACTTAGGGCCTACGGCATTATAACAGTTCTGAATAAGACAATGGACAAATGAATAAGACATAGCAACAGAAACCCAAGGAGACACTTGATAACAAAAGTGAAGAAAATTATGGTTCAACTGAAAATTGATTTGAAATTAGCAATTAGCATACAAGCAATTGAAAAAAAAAAACTCTTCAGAAACTCAAAGATGATCATGAAAACATACGGTAGAATTCTGGATCTGAAAACTAAATATTTTCAGAACTCTTTTCAAAAAGGAAGATACAGATTTCCATTGTTTTAAAAGTGTGTGCCAACTATTCTATACCACCAGTTTTTGGTCTCGATTCAGCAGTCAATTGGCAGTTTGTCCACTTATGACAAACAAAACATGCCTTTTGTTCAAAGATTGAACACAAGACAATCTGGAATTAAAATTTATTGAAGTTTATTAATTTGTTGAAGTCTATATTGTCAATTGGTTTCAGTCAAGTACTCAGTTTCACAGCTGTGTAAATACTAATACATTGTGCAATGATGAGCATTATAAAGGTATATTTCTCTCGAAATCTGCGGATGTTGACTTCCTAACAATATTGTAGCAGTGTAGTTCCAAGGCAATATCAAAGGAGAAGTTATTTCCATAGTTTCTTCTTTGCCCTTCTACTTTTATCCACATGGGCATGAACTGCTGTCAAATAGTATAAATACTATTAGCGCATGCCAAGTTAAATACTCAAAATATTGCTTAGCAATTAGGACGACAAGCTCCAATTCCATCATAAAATACATCTACTGGTGCATTTGCCATTGTTGGCTTTAAACAGTAATTAAAGTTGATACAATGGTTACTAAGGTAACATGGTGACAGTATGACTTCCTTTGTATTTGCTCACCACAACTGCTAGCAGGTTCAAGAGACTAACTGAAATACATACATAACGTAGATGTAACGTTTACATAATGCACATTCAATATGAACATCTTGCAAAATGAGCATCTCCAAAATATACTTGACACGGTCAACACTTTCTTTCCCTGCTGTAGGATATCTTGCATATAACTTGTAAATCTCGCTCCAAATTCTACTGCACGTGCCATCCAGTGTTCTTTCACCAGTACATTTTTTTTTCGCTAGTGAAATTTCAAAATTTCCTTTCTGAAAGTAATTCTAGGGTAAAATTTCCAAACAAGTATATAGGACACTGGACATGCGTTGGTATGGTTATGCATGTTTTTCTACCCCTTCATATTTTATACATGACAAAAAATCATAATTCAATACAGCAGAAGTTTGTGATGCTTTCACAATAAATTGACCATAGCAGTGCTAAAAACATTTTCTCAACTGAAGTCATTCCCTTTCCCATTGGTTACTTGTTTTCAGGCAAACTAAAATTGGATAATTTGCACAAGTGTAATTTCAATACAGTTTGCTCTTGTTGCATTGACAACATCCGTCACAGAATATGTGTCACTATCTCAGAGTAAATAAAGTACATAGGTAGGTAAATACGTATAGACAGCTACAATACGCCAACGATTATTCTAAGTCAAAAAGCAAGGCTATTTGTTTATCTACTGGTATACTGGTGCTTCAGCCTAAGCCTTGCTCAGAATTAGTTCCTCTGATTGGTGGATCTTCTAGACTGAAAGGAATAAACATCGACATTAAGAAAATCAATGAAACAATTGTTATTTTACACACAGAGTATAGTATTTTATTACAGTAGTGTGAATACGGAATAGCATTTTGTTAATATGCATATATACTCAGTACAGGACACTATTTGATAGTTCAGGAGCCCTTTCCAACATAAGCCAATGGCCAACCATGTACATTATATACTGTAATTGTTTATAGCACTGAATTGCGTGTGAAATCTGAGATATAATATGTGCATGTACATGATGTTATGGGAAAATTAGTAAGTATGTGTACTCCAATGAACAAAAAATATTATTATATTCAAATTAAATGTGGATGCAAAGATAAAAATATAAGAAAAATAAGGCTCTATAAGTGCCACAAATAATATCAAACTATGCCAGTAAGAATATGTACATGTATGAAACATCATTCTACACATGCGGCAATTGAATTTTTTGTCTAAATACATTGGTTTGTTTTTTTTTTTTTGGGGGGGTTTTTTTTGTTTTGTTTTGTTTTATTGATTTTCCACAAAATACAATTTCTGAATACTGTACAGTAACAAAATCGTAAAACTAACCTTTGGACAAAATTATTGTAAAATGATATGAAAATAATGATTAAATTTATAAGCAATAATTAAAGTTCAAAGAACTTTACCAATTGCAACTAGAAATTAATTATATGACAATCAGAGAAAGATGTAATATGATAAATATGAGGTAATGAGTATATCAGTAAGCGAAAAAGAACATGGTACTTACAGTGGCACTCTTTCTATTCGAGTCTTCTTCTTGACGCTTTTCATAGTGTCCAAAATCATCAAATATCGAGGTTGTATGCTGGTAGTTGTGAATAATCTTCACAACTTGTTTACCTTTCTCAAGTGGAACTTCCTGTGTGTCGCGCGAGTTAGTCACTGGTTTATTTTCGTTGTTTTCCAAACGAATATGACGAAGCTGACTGTTCGGAACGTCTTTAACATAAATCCACCGAACGTCAAGCCGCCCCTTCCATTTATCCTGAGCCCACACACCAGTACTTACATTGTAGTCCACAGCAGACAACATTTCAGCAACTCCACAAAAATGGCCACTACCGTTCACACTATACAACAAGTAAACAGGCCCTTTACCTGACTGCTGTCTAAAGGCACTGTCCAATCGTCTGTTACCATGCTCTGTGCTACACCAAATGCTATACTTGATAGAACGATGAATATCATCTTCAGAATAGCTCTTGATTATAAAGAAACGAGCGTTCTTTGTGTTCAGATTTAAAGATGGTGGATTGTACTCATTTTTGGCTCGTAATTTCTGCAAAACTGGACTAACGCCATCAGCAGGTGGCTGCGCGACTTCAGCCACAGCAGCAGTCGCTCCTAGGTTTGACCTGCCACTATAACTGGAGCCAGAGTCTCTAGTTCCCTGCTGGTTGGGTGGTCCCCAACGTTGTTGGTTTTGTCCTTTTAGATGCTGGCCAGTATTTCCTTGTGTTTTTGGAGGTCCTGACTGACTCTGACCAGATCTATGGGCCTGGTTCTGGCTTTGAGCAGGAGGTCCTTGTTGCTGATTTGCAATTTCTTCAGAATTTTGAGAGCTGCTGTTAGCATTTTTCTCTCCGTCCCAAGTGCCAATGTTCAAAGTTGTTTGTTTGAGTGTGGGCAACTGGGTTGGAACTGGAGCATGAGCAGAAGACTTCTTGCTAGACTTATTCTGAACAGGTTTAGCAGGCTTGCTTGCAATTGCTGCCCAAGATGTTGGTTTAGCAGTCACAGGAGCCGAAGCTGGAGCACTTGAGGGCGGTATTTGAGAGACGGGTGGAACAACCATAGGTTGACTCGCAACTCGAACCTCAGAGTCAATTTTTCCATTATCTTGAACAATTCCTGCGGATTTTTCACCATTTCCAATGCTAAGTCCTGAAACACCTTGTTCAACAAGCTTCATGCCATGCGATTTTCCATCAGAAGGGTTCGTGCCATTCAGCTCATGATAGTTTCTAGGCTTAGAAACTGCCTGTGGTGAAGTATAACGATAGTCATAATAAGGAGGAGCATGACCTGGGAGGCTGCCAGGTGCCTGTCCTTGGTTAGTAGAGCTAGCCTCCCATGGCCCAGTACCAAAGTCCGCATTACCGGGGAAAAAGTTGAAACCACCCTGAGTAAGATATGGAGGCGTAGTACCCGGTTGGTTATAGTAGCTAGACGCTGATGTCGATTCCTGCATGTAATTGGCACCGTCATATCCGCCATAAAAGTTGAAATTCTCACCGCTTCCAGTTGACCATGGTGTGTCATTTCCTGGCATAGAGTAGGGGGCAGCTGTATTAAAGGAGTATGGGTAGTAGCTAGGTACAAATGATTGGTCAGGTGGCAATCCTGGGGCTGTATTATATCCTTGTTGTGCTGGCTGCTGAAAACAGACATTCAAATAGAAATGTGTTAATATCTAAGTATATAAAATCTTGATAGACATATGATGCATATTAAAAAATAAATTCATTTACAGTTATCTTTCAGCAGGGATGCAAGGTTTTTAGCACAAAGAAAAAGAATGGAAATGGCACTGCCTTCCAATTTAGAGGTTCTCTGTTCTGAGGTTGTGGACATACTCTGTATGCCATGCTTGCAATACTGACTTGAGTAAAAATTCACAAAAAAGCCCTCAACTGGAAACCCTCTACATGACTTTTTGTCCATGCAAATTTTAGTGCTCCCACCCAGTTTGGTTCCCCTGTAGCCTTGCCTGTGTCTATGAGTACACCTTTAAACTGATATAAATCCTACTTCATTAAATGATAATAATATCTCCCATAAAGTTACAGTTGCACATGCATCCTCTCTAATGAATTTCTCTGAAATGTTTTCTCAATTACCTGTACAGTATTTGTGTAATATTCCTGATGCATTTAATATTAAATAAACTACAATTCTAATTTTGTCTTCTGCCCTCAAGAGGTCAGTAAAGTAGATCCGAAATTGTAGATAATACTTTTCCAAATGTTTCGCAGCATAAACTGTTCCCAAATACCAAAAAATGAAAATGAACTTACCTGTGCTGGTTGGCTATTCATATAGCGATCAAATTCTTCATCATTTACCGTATCTTTAGCATTAACTGGGCCATTTTGCACTGAAGAGTAAAGCAAACAACTATTATTAACTACATTAAACATAAGCCATTCAACATACTATCTAAAATAATGAAGGTGTGGGGAAAAGGCTGGGAGTCTTTAGTCATAGAGGGATGGGAAAGGAATACAAGTGTATGTATCTGTTACATTACCGTAGCCAAGTATATGACAACTACATTTACACAATTTTGACCCGATTCTAAGCTTCCAAGCAGATATCAAGGCAAAATTCTCAAAAATAAAAATTTATATTTTTCAAAAAGACAATCAAAAATTCTTAAAAAACATGTTTGAATCCACAAATTTATCAAGAGAATCTAGTGACTTACCTGTATTTCTCTGCCCTCGTGATCGCTATAAGAAAATAAAATGAAAATGAATTAATACAAAGTATTAGGTATACAGTTATGAACTACACATAGTAGTATTGTATATCAATGTCTAAACTCTACAATGGAACACTATTTTTTGGAAATAATGTTTATTATATACTTTCATATTATCATTTTCTTTGCATTTTCTGAAGACTGTAAATGACGTTATGCAAATTCTATGTATTCTTTGTGGATAATAGGCCATGATGGTATTTGCAAAAATACCATCATGAGTATGTATGTATACTGTTTGAGAAATGCAGTATTTGTCAGATGCTGCAGAGCCATTTAGGTATTGCTCAGCCTTTCCATGGTTGGATCTGAGGTTGTGATTGCAGTGAAGTTTAGGGTCATGTAAAGCCCCATAAATATTTTTTTTTTTTTTTTTTTTAACTATTTTCTTAAATACATACATTATATTGTTTTTGTTTAATACTGCTGGGGAGTTTTTAAATAAAGCCTATTTCTCAGAAACTATATTTTTTCTGTTAGCAAACTTGAATCCCTTGCAGAAAGGTAGGGTCATGTAAGCTCCATACATTTTTCAATATCTTTTTCCACACAGTACAGTAATTTTAAGAAACAATATATCATGTTTTTGTTAACACTGTGTTGGGATTTTTAAAAAAAACTGTTTTGTCAAGAAACTAGGCCTATACTTTACAGAATCCCTTGCATCAATGAATAATTTAATTGTATGTACTGTATTTGTATGTAAATAGATAGTTAGGGACCTTGAGATGATTTGGAATTGAGTTTAATAAAAGCAAACTTCCTAGTAGGCTAGGTGCACTGACTGTGGTAATGAGTGTATAATGCATGTAAACAAAGCAAAAAAGGGTCTATTAATTAGTTTAGTGCTAATATGCCCAAACCTAGTAACAAACAATAAATAGTGCTGCTTGTTCGGGAACAGGTCAAAATGGCCAAAAACCAAAACAGCAATAAGTCAAAATGGCCAAAAACCAAAACAGCAATAAGTCAAAACGGCCAAAAACCAAAAACGGCAACACTTTTAGACTAGAACGGCAATGGACGGACCAAAACAACCAAAACGGCAATACCAAAACGGCAACACTTCAAGAATGACATAATGGTAATTGGAAGAATGGCTAAATAAAATCAACAATACAGTAGTTTGCTTAAAACGCCTTTTTTAAAATTAAGGTTATTGAAAGTAAAGTTCCATGGGTGTTACCTTTAAAATCCCCCTCTTGATTTTGCACCTTATACATGAACTTTAAGATGCTGTTAACTCGTATTTACCTCAGTTTGATGGTTTTATTTTAATTATAAACATGAAAGTGTACAACGATAAATACAGTGAAAATGTGGCTATATTGTCATAGAGGTAAAAAAAACGTGAAAGAACAACATTAATAATAATAATAATAATAATAATAATAATAATAATATAACATACAAATTCAATAGTAAAAAGACTGGGGGAATTGCAATATAAAAGCAGTAAACATTTAAATAATTAAAACTTCAAAATACAGATAAAAATAGGCTAAACAATTTATGTAAAAAATTGCGAAAGAAAAAAAAAACATTTTAAAGAATAACATTAATAATAACAACAACAACAACAACAACAACAACAACAACAACAACAATAATACAACATACAAATTCAATTAAGAAAGATTGGGGAACACAATATAATACAATAAAACTTAGTGAACATTTAAATAATTAAAACCTTAAAATACAGATAAAATGAGGCTAAACAATTTATCTAAATTTATGTTACGGGAAAGAAAAAAATAACAGTGGCGAATCTAAGGGGGGGGGGGTGAATAGTGTGGCTAGCCACCCCCCTTAATTTACCGTGAAAAAAAATAATGGTTACTTGTCTTGTGTATGTGCTTGCCTATCTGGTAAAACATAAACTTCCTATTTTAAGCTAGTTGCCATCTAAGATTGTCTAACAGTCTACTAATTCCAAAAAAAATCTCACAATGGTAGGGGACGCTCCACCAAAACCACCACCCTCACCCACTCTGTCCTTCTCACCTCCTATTATCCACCCCCATTGCTAAATCCTAATTCCGCCACTGAATAATAATAATAAATAACACTTTAAAATAACGAAATAATTCGTCATTGGTGTGTAAAAAAAGACAAAACAAAACAAAAAAAAAAAAAAACAAAGATTCAGAAAAGTATAAACTGCTGTCCGCGCGCAGTTGTGCTTCAGTCTTGGCATTGATTTTTGCTCCATTGCCATTTTGGTCTGTTGCCGTTTTGGTACTTATCATTGCCGTTTTGGTTTATTGCCGTTTTGGTTATTGCCGTTTTGGTTTTTTACCGTTTTGTCCAGAAACCGCTTGTTCACTCATTTGTCGAACTATCAACCTTAATAATAATTATGTTAATCCCATCCATGTTGTTAATTTATGGTGCAGTATCAGTAGGCTAGGGCCTGATCAGTGATACCATTTATAATTATAGGCCTAGAATTCTAAAAATTTGACAACCCATGAATTAACACCATGAGGAAAATCAAGGCCAGTCAGCCTTGGGAAAGGATCAAGCGTTTTAGGCCCAAGCCTAAGCTTCATGGAAGGGTGCCATCGGCGAAAAAAATCGTTGATGTCGATGTGATTACGAATGCTCCTTTTTTTTTTTTTTTTTTTTTTTGCTCTGCTTGTTAAACATGCCTTGCTTGGCAGCACTTCGTGAATCATAATTCATTTCGATGAGGTATCCGCAGCCAATGAACATAGGCATAGACTGACGTATTCCTTTATGAAATTGCAATTAAACGATTTTTCCGAAACAAGCTGAAATATTATTTTGAAGGCTATTTCCAACTTCCATTTCCATTTCAGGCTACGTTGTCGTACGATTTTGTAAATCGCACGTTCATAGGCTACTCTCTGCTGTTACCAACATACCTGTTCTACACCAGCAGACATTGCCCGATAATATAACAAATATTATTAGTTCGAGTATGAAATGTTTTTAAAAATCCACAAATATAAGTCACAAAACGATTACAGATAGTATCAGTCTAAAATATAAGCGTTTTATATTGAAAAAACACTTCTCACTTTCAGGAAACACTCTCCTTATCCCAAAAACAATGGCGACGCATATGGACATGCGCCGTAAACGAGCTTAGGTTGCCGGGTAATTACTTTACTGTAATCCAAAATTAGATCTAAATCTGAGACGATTTCTGTCTGATTACATTCCAAATAAAACTCAGATTAAATCATTTAGTATTCTGTAAGATACTGTAATAGTACACATTAATAATAAATAAATAGAAGATGAATTAAGTTTAAATGAGGTCTTGACTAATAATAACAGTAAAACGAAAAAATAGGTCCGAGCATTATCGGTAATATTAATTTTTATTATTTATTTATTTAAGGACAAAAATACAAATATTTGGCCTTCTAGCCCGGTTTTTTTTTCTTTCTTTTTTTTTTAAACAAATCGGCTAACCAATTTACCATAATAATGATGGCTACCACAACAATCAATCAGTCAGTGAAACAAATAAATCGGTCGATGATTGATCGATTGAGAATGAAAGGTGGTTTTATATCTGGCAGTTTAATTTTACGTTAACATTGTACCCTTACCAATTTTGTATCGATACAGATTTTTTAGATTTTTAACTTTTAATGTTTCATATAAGCAAAATTTTATATTGTAAACATTTGTTTGTTTGGTTTTTTGGGTGATCAATAATTTCTTGTGTTCTTTATTTTTCTTTCTTTTTAACTTTCCAAAAGGGGGACTCGGGACCCCCACCCTACTAAATTTCCCCTCGGTTACTCAAAGCCAGTGCCAGAACCAGTGGCGTAACTAGGTTGTGAGGGGCCCCGGTTCAAGAGTCTGCAGTCGGGGTCATTGACGCATGCAAATTGATTGACCATGTTATCTAAGATGTGTACCACCGACGTGTTAGCTTAGGAGTAGTGGTCCCTCCGATATTTTTTTTACTATTTTGACACCTTTCGATATTTTTAATTTTTAATTCGTACCGTAGTTGTTTTCAGAGGGGTATTTGTAGAGACAGCTATTGGCAGGGAATGCAATAATAATAAGCATTTCTACTCCTTATGACCAATAGCTGGTATTGGGGAATCTCGAACACTCTTAGAGAAAAGTTACAACGATGTCAAAATAAAATATTAAGATTTATATTGGGGGTTAATAGTAGATATCATCTGAGTATGGGAGATTTTCTGTCATTGGGAATTTTAAATATTAATAGACGGGCTCAACAATTAACCTTATGCACAAAGTATACAATAATTTAACGCCATTATATCTTGATGTAAATTTCATTTTATTTAATCATAATTATAGAACACGAGGTGTAACAAAAAATTTTATGTTTCCAAAAAATTCTCATCAAGTTGATAAGACATTTTACTATAATGGAATAAAAAAAATGGAATGAATTGCAAAATTGTTTAAAGGAAATTGAAAACCATAATACATTTAAATATTTACTTAAAAATAATTTAATAAAAACATAATTTTTTATTTTTTTTAATTTTTTTTTTAATATTTGCTTCTCTTTTTATTGATCGAGGACCCCTATGGAAACAATCTCATAGAGCTTATAGGGTTATCCTCTTGCTCTCATTTTTGTGTGTATTTATGTTCTTGATTTTTTTGTTTTGATGTTATAATAATGAGGGCAATAAATAATAAACAAACAAACAAACAAAACCACATTCAATATTTATTGAATTAATGTTTTTTATTTATTTAGTTATCAGATTAACCATTGAACAATTGTCAATCTTGGATAATTAGATTTTTATAATTAAGCTAAATAAATGAAATGGATCACACCTGACATCAATAGACTATGTATGGGCGTGATCATCACGAGTAAAATTATAAAATCCGAATCAGATTATTTGTTTCAGTTGAAAACAAAAATAAGCACGATCCCAAACGTTTGTGGGATAAAAAGAATGAATTATAGCGATTATTTAGTACATAGGAACAGCTATTTCAAACCCAATTAAAAAAAAAAAAAACAACAACAACAACAGAATGGAAACCCAATTTGTATTATCACACTAAATTTTACAGTACTTGTATATTTATGGTATAGAAGAGAATCTGGCATATTTACGGTATCTGAAAATAGTAACCTTGATGTTCATTTCAAAACTAGTTATACTAACTTGCATCACGCATCGCGAAATCTACATGGTATGCAACATAACCAAAATTGTTGAAGAGCAAAGTCTCCGACGAGAGCAAAGTGGGCGTGGTTGGGTGCCTATTAAAATGCTTTGAAAGTGGTCCAGGGGGAGAGCCCCCGAAAAAATATAATATAGTAGTTTACAAGTAAATTGCAACACTTTTTATGATAAATAGGCCTCTGAATAGAGGCCTACTGTAGAAACTCAATAAAATACGACTTCGCTCCCTGAGACTCACCGAAGCTTAGTACATGAACACCACCGGAGCACTAGGTGGCCTACGGCCCAAGACTTCCTTTCTCCCCAACATTCATCACCCCTTCCCCTCCCCTTCCCACCACCGGCACCAAACATTCAAGCAGATCGATGCCCGTACCAGCGATGTTCTTGTTTACTCAAATAGCACCGCACGTCTGGCAAATCATATACCCGCTCGAGCGTCACGTGGTACTCTCCTCCCACGACTTTCAGTGTGTATGGAGCGTCAACGCAGTCGTTTATGGTCTTCGATTAATTGTGTTTTTGTTTACGTGATCCACGTTCACTTTAAAATACACATATATATACAAGAGTCTTTCCTTTAAACATTATATTGGCAATAAACATTACCTTTAAAATGATTTAGCTAGCTGGAATGACAATTACAATTTATGACACCACACATTGCCGGAAAATAAGCCTACCGTATCCTACGATTCTGTTTTGAGATTCCAAGTAAACTTTAAGAAACCGCAACAGATTAATTGTTAATTACAACATACACCAGTAACAAGATTGCAACAGATATTAAGATTTCATGTATATATATATATATATA